GTGTGCCTAGGATTAGGCACAACCCTAGAAACACCCTGTGTTACTTGGCAGGGGGAAACAGCATTTGGGAGGAGCGTGCAGGCAGGGACAGGAAGGAGGAATCAGGGCACCAACAGGTTTTGGAAGAGGGGTGAAATCAGCGCTGCTGCTGTCCCACGCAGCAGCCACCACCACCGCTCCTCGAAGCATGAGGGGGTGCAAACTGCCCCACGTTTGCAGAAGCCTGGCTGGCAAGCAGAGGGCCTTGCTCAGCTGACAGAGGAGAAGACGATAGCAGCAAGGACAGTTTCTTTACTCTCTCTGTGATAATTTGGGTTTGGTTTCACATTGCAGGTGGGACAAGTGAACTCAGGGTGGCTTTCCCCAGCCATAATTGAGCAAGCCCATATGGATGTGAGTGCAGGGAAGAAATACCACCGCAGGAAGACTGCCGCCCGCCCCCCCGGTTGTAGTGATGAGGGATAGATGCCTCTGTGTTTTATGGAGGTGTGATGCACCTGCACAAGTGTTCGCTACAGATCCCAATAAGATGAAAGGCACCCAGACTCTGTAAAGTATTGATTAAAATACTGTTTGTTGGGAATAACATGAGAAGGCAAAGTAGGATTGCATAGATAATCTTACAGCCTTCAGATGCTGGGAACACCAAGTAGTACAGCATCAGCCCATGCTACGTTGCACAGACAGTGTCTGTGCTGATGTTCACCAGTGTCATGGTCTTCAGGGTTTTTATAGGATTTTCTTGGAAGTAAACAACTCTATTTGTCACTTCTGTTGTCAATCAAAATGATGTTCGCATAAGAATATGCTGCTTCACTCTAAGACAAAGACAAGGACATGGTGGTGGCATCATCACCAGGTGCCAAGTGGAAGCAACCTGTAGGATTCCCCAGTAAGGTTTAGCCAGCTAAGTTTATCTGGCGGCCAAGTGGTATGTGCAGCATTTCTCATGTGACTTATGTGGAGCACCAGAGTATTTCACTTTGTAAAAGCTTTCAATATTCTCAGTCACATTTTTTTTTCATTCCTGCATCTCTGTGCGTCTCTTCTTTATAATAATCAGGCAACTTTTACACTGCAGCTTAAGTCCATATTGTTATATTTATGCTTATATTTTTACCATCTTCTTGTCTTTCCTTTAAAGGAAAGGAGTTAGCATCTTCCATGATAACTGTGCATTATACAGAGTTAAGTTTAAGCAACACTAGAATACAGTGGTTAAGCTTGGTTATTAAGCAGGTACGAATATCCTCTGATACTGACCTGTGCCATCTTCCTTTAACTTCTGGTTTGGTTTCTATATTCATTCTGTTGCTTAAGCACTTGCTTAAAAAAACCACCTTACTGAAACTAGCCATTTGTCACTATGTGTGGCTGCTTCTTTTCCAGTGCCATTCCTCACTCCCTCTGGGAAACAGGACAAACCCATCTACCAGGGCCATCAGGTTGTTAACTGTAACTGCTGAAACCTTTTATCTGAAGAGTACTCAAGGTTACATTCATTGCTTAAACTCAACTATTTCTTTACATTGGTTTTGCTTTATAATTGGAGATTTTCACTACATCTTGGGACATTTTCCAGCTGGTATCTTGCAAGGTTCGTAATTAAAGATGCTGGCTTTTCACATTATAGCCTTTTCTTGTTCTGTAATGTGCTTTTAGGGCTCCTCTCTGTTTCTCCCGTTGTGGTTAGCCTCTGCAGCAGGACAGCCTGCACCAGTTATCACCTCTCCCGGGGCTTTGACTTCCACCCCTCAAACATTTAATTCTTCCATCCGTTCACTGTTCTTGCAAGCAACTTTTTACCATTTCATTTTCTTTCTACACTCACCCACCCCATGAGTGATGGATGCTATTTTCTTTGTCAGGGCAAGAGAGTTACTAAGATTCACACCTTTTCCCTCCCAGCATTATGGCTTTCAACACAGCCGGGAGTTTTGATCCCTTTCCCGCTATGAGTTGACTTTTCTTTTTAAGTGAAGAAAGCCTTTGGCAGTTGCTTATTTCCTATGTAACTATTTTTCCTACTTCCAGGGAGTACAGTAGAGAGGGTTTGGCTTTGGCCCATTTTCTTGGGCCTTTGCCCTACGACAGATACAGTTTGCTGGTTCAATAGTTGGGGCATTTCTGAATATTTTCCTCAAATGAGTTATACATTTTGATCCCCATTTGATCCCTGAGAACAGGGGAGCTGCCGAGCAAGGAGGACTTCAGGACCCGGAGAATCGTCCCCTTCCCTCGCAGCCTGCTGCCACCTTTTCATTCAAACACCTTGGTCAGGTTTAAGCCAGTTTACAAGTTGGCCAAGTGTTGAACCCTGGTCATGGTGTGAGGTTTACGTGTAACAATTAAGTTACATGCAGCCTGATTCCTGGTGAGGCCCTGCCAGCATGAAGGACCCCAACCATCTGACAGACCTGTGCACTTGTTGCCCCAGAGCGTTGCAGCATATGCAATGATGGTTGGCATTATAATGCAGCATACTGTGCGACTGTTCCCCGTGCTATGGACCAAGCAGGTACCCCTCATTTTCCTCACTACCCTTCTTCCACGAAAGCGTCTCTCACCAGGATCCTACCAGCTACACGAAATGTAGTGCACTGGTGCAAGTGTTTGTTATGGATCCTAGTAAGAAAGACACTCAGAGCCCATGATGCATTAATTAAAATACCATTTATCGAATGTAACACGAGAAAGGGTATAGCATTAGATAATCCTACACCCCTTCAGATGCTGCAAACACCTAATTGTACAGCATCGGACAGATATCTAGTCAGGCCATGGCATGCTGCACAGATCCCATCCATGCTGAGGTTCACCAGCATTGTGGTCTTCAGGGCTCTCATAGGATTTTTCTTAGCAGTAAACAACGTTATTCATAATTTTGCTGCGAAGCAAAAGGTTATTCACATAAGAACATGCTGCTTCTAAGACAAAGACAAAGACACAGTGGTGGCATCATTATCAGGTGCCCAGCGGGAGCCACCTATCAGCTCCTCAGTCAGGATTAGCCAGCGAAGTTTATCCTGCAGCCAAGTGATACGTGCAGCACGGCACAGACCTGCCCCTACATACTCAGATCAACTGTTTGGTGAGTACTGTTTCTGTGAGGACCTCCTAATTCATAATTGCTCCTACTTTTTCCTCTCCTATTATCTCAGACTGAAGAAGGTAGATACAGGTCAGTAGATTGAGCATTAGAGGCCTGCATTCTCCCCTTCCCCTCCCCAGTTGCTCCCCTTCTCTCCCAGTTGTGCTGTGACAGAGGGCACACGCTTCAAACACAGCGCACGAGCTCAGCTCCAGGGAGAACACTTTGCAGCTGTGTCAATATTTGAAAACTCTGAGTTAGGATAGGCACCGAAGGGAGAGCAGTAGGAAGCACTGTGGCTTCAAATACAAGCCCCTGCTCATATGCCTCTGCTCCCACTGGTCTGTCTCCAAGCACTCAGGGCAAAGACAGGGCTCATCTGCCCTCTGAGTTCAAAGAAAATAGCTGAAAATAAGGACACCCATAGATTTATCAGCTGAATTCACTTTCCATCCTCACTTCACATGTGCCTCCAGCACCTTGTCTGCAAACCGGTCATGAAAGTTCATGGAAAAAGTTGTACATAGAAACCGCAGAGAACGGCTTTTCAGATTCTCACATTACTGCGTTCAGAGCACCCCAAAAGGGAACTGTGCTACTAGGGATTCCCCAGGAACACTACACTCTCCTCTTGTGCAGGGGGGATAAAAAGCCCAGAGAATTTAGGCCCCTGAACAAAACTTTTTGGGGAAATGCAGATGTTAGAGGGGCGGAAGAGCAAGGATAGCTAAAACTGAGGATGCAGCAAATAAAAGCAGTGTTTGTGTAACAAAGGCAGTGCAGAGCGGGCAAGTCTGAAAGACCTCCGTTAGGTCTGGTATTGTCGGTCTCTTCCTATGAGGTCAAGTTCACATGGCATCGGGAACTGTGCGCTTCCTTCCTGAAACGGGACCAATTTCCTTCAGTGTGCCTCAGTTGGCAGATAAGCATTGAAGAAGATGGAGGAGTAGGAATATTGGGGTGTAGCTGTGGTGGTACTTTTAGCTTTTTGGTGCAGGAGCAGGAAAGAAGTGGGAGAGGAAGCAAGAATGTGAGAAAAAGGAAAACTAATTAATTAACCCAACTTAAACATGGAGGGGAAAGGCAAAATCTGAGCATACTGAGATGAACTGTTGAACCCTTACGTGGTGAGGTGAGGAGCCTCTCATCTGGGGACAGTGAAAATTGCACTGTAAAATGCTATTCGCACAGTGAGACACGATGCCATCCTTTCATGTCCGCACATGGACCATCCAGTCACCATAAGGCCAGGAAGCCAACAGCAAGCAAAACAGGCAACAGTGGAGAAAGAACACTCAGCCCTAGCGCCGAGGCCGGACTCTGCTTCTGCTAATTGTGAAAAACGCTCTTCAAAAAACCCACAACAGAGACACCTTGTAAACGCTTGGGAAGCTGCTTCCTTCCCAGCAACATCTGGCATCAGCATCACCTTCAAACGATCAGAAGTGCTGCTGAGTTCCAAGAGTAAAAGCCCAGGAAAGTGCTTGATTAGAAACAATTAATTAAAGAAAAACCTGAAAGGAAGGCATTGTTCAAAGCTGCTGCTTTGAGACTTTTCCTGCCTTCCCCACGGTGCACTGTCACCTCTGACAGTGTAACAGAGGCAGAGCAGAAGCACTGCTCATTAACGCTGTAGGTGTCTTCTCTAAGAAATTATTCCCATCCACAGCCAAAGCCTTCCCTGCACCAGGCACAGCAAGTGGCATTGCGTAGGCTCAGAGCTCCAAGGGGCAGCTACCAAAAAGTCCCAGGTCTACACCGGCAGTTACCTCCGAGACTGCTAATTCTGCCTGGGGCTGAGCCCAGAGCCTTGTTGCCACAGAGAGACACGAGAGCTAGGGTTTTTTGTTGTTATTTTACCCTATTTTAATAAATACAGAAGAAGATCAGCCAGGGCAGGCTGGGTTAGTCAGGTCCCCATCTCGACCTCCACCACTTCTGCCACTGCTCCAAAACCCACCCCCTCCTGGATGATGACCACGTCACTCGGTGAGTCCTCATCCTGCACTATAATGCATTTGTCCTCATGCTCAGAGATGGTGATTTCAATGACGTCCTTTGCCGACGGCAAACGCCCAGCGGGCCTCCTGCATGCTCCAGTATCTGAGGGGCTGCCTCGAGACTGGTAAGTAGCAATGCAGTGACCGCTGGCTGTGATCAGCAGCTCAGCCTCGTTTGCTGGCCCCGGCACCTCCACCATGAGCAAGGTGGGCTCTGCTGCAACCTCCTCCTGGTGGCCCTTCCTCTGAGGCTTTTTCCTTCCTGCCTGGAGTGAGGCCGCTGCGGGGGTGAGCTCCTCAGGGTCCTTTTCTGCCTTGTGGGTGAGCACGTGGCGCGCAAGGCTCTGGGGAAGGGTGTAGCCCATGCCACAGAGCTCGCATTTGTGGGGCTTGTCAGCTAGGTGGGATTTCTGATGGCGCCGCAGCTTCGTAGCCAAGGTGTAGGACTTGCCGCACCGCTCGCAGTGGAAGGGGCGCTCGCCTGTGTGCAAGCGTTCGTGGGCACGCAGCGTGTGGGGGTCCCGCAGCGCCTTGCCGCACACAGTGCAGAGGTGGGCCTCGCCTGTGTGGGAGATGAGATGGCGCCGCAGCTCCGGCAGCTTGGGGAAGGCGTCGCCACAGAAGCGGCACTTGTAGGGCTTCTCGCCCGTGTGCAGCCGGAGGTGCTCGCGCAGGTTACTCTGCTGCCGGAAGTCCTTGCCGCAGTAGGGACAGGCATATGGGCGCTCCCCTGTGTGCAGGCGCATGTGGTTGCGCAAGGAGCCGGGGTTGGCCAGGTGGCGTCCGCATACAGCACACTGGCATCCCCTGGGACCAGCTGGGCCAGTCTCAGCAGCCAGGTGGATCTTCCTGTGAATGCGGAGAGAGGGCCGGCGTGCAAAGGCCTTGCCACACTGCTCGCAGGAGAAAGGGCGCTGGCCAGTGTGCAGGACCTGGTGCTCCTGCAAGTCTCGCTTGGTGCAGTAAGCCTTGTCGCACTGGGTGCACTGGAAAGGCCGCACACCTCGGTGGGCCAACACGTGGGCCTTGAAGCTCTCCTCTGAACTATAGCTCTTGCCACACTCTGTGCAAAGAAAAGGCTTGTGCCCAACATGGACGAAGCAGTGCTTCTTGAGGTGGCAGAGCTGCAGGAAGGCTTTGCCACACTCCCTGCAGCGGTACCTGCGCTTGACCGTCTCCTTCTGAGAAAGAGCTTTTTGTGGGCGCCCTGGGCTGCCAGAAAGACCCTCCACCAGCTCTGCATACTCCTCCTGCCTCACAGGCCCCTCCTGTGGGCCCTTTCCCCCATGCTCTGAGCATGCCAGTTTAGAGTCTTTGGAAGCTTTGCTCTCTTTCTCGCAAGACTCTACGCTCTCTCCTTGAGAAGGACTGAGCTGCTGGGATTCCTGCCCAGTTGTCCTGCCGCCACCGTCCTGCAGGCACTTCTGGAGCTGGCTGGACTGAGTGTGCACCTTGCATGACTTCCCAACGAAGTGAGCACCAAGTCGAACTCTGCTTGAGGGTGACAACAGATCCAGGTCTCCTGGACATGCTTCTTTATGCCCCATCTCCACGTTTTTTGCCGCAGATTTGGGAGCCACATCCTCATCCAATTCTTCCTTGCACCTGCTACCGGCCTTAATGGTTGAGATGGTCTCAAGGTGCTGATTCTCAGTCCTCAGCACCTTGGCTTGCCAAGGCTCATGTGTGGAAGTTGTGCTTTCCTGTTCTTGCAGCCTATGGAAATGTTTGGTGGCCGGCCTGCTAACCTCAGCAGGGACATCAAGGACTGTGGTTTCATCAGCTACCACCTTGGAGACATCGGGATCCCCTGCACAAACACAAAAACATGGCAAGTGAATTAATGCTGGCTGTTTTTATACGACACGATTGCTGCCGGATCAGAGGAACATGAACCTCAGAGAGAGATATTCTGCTATCCCAGTAATCCTGGGGCTCTGGCACGAAAACCATTACTTTTATGACCTTTTTCTCTTTTAAGCTAGGGAAGATGGTTCTTTCACCACGGACAGTATCCGTGCAGCATTTCTAGTATTTCACAGGCAGTATTTCTAGGAGATGTCATCACGACTAGCGCAAACCAGAGCTGCACGCTCCTTTCTCACCCGGTAACTCTTAAAAGCGATGCAGGGTCCGCACAGCACTCTCCGAGGGGCTGCGGGGCGAACACGCCGGCGCACGGATGCCAGGCACAGCCGAAGGCGCGAGGTCACCAGCACCCGAGACCCGGGAAGGCCTGGCCGCTCGTTTCACCCT